GTCCGATTTATTTATTAAGGGGGCTGAAATATTTTCCTACCCTTCCGATCTTGAATTTTGTGCTTGTAAGTTTGAAGATTCTTTGCTAGTGAGACGCTCGGGAAAAGAGCAGACACTCTTTCCATTTAACGTATGCATGCGTAAGGAGACTTCTTCTACGACTATGGCCAACTAGAGTGGAGCTTGTGCTTGACTGTCCCGGAGGTTATCATACCGCTAAGGACTGGGAACTAATCCACCAAGTCGCAGGGACAACGCACCTGTTATCCAAGCAGCGGCCGAACCATACCCAGCTTGACGACTGGAGAACTCCGCAAGGGATATCCAGCTTTCAACCGTACGCGGTGGACCGTGGATGTCTCACCGGCAGCTGTTTCCTGATAGGACTAGAACGTTTGCTGTGAGGTGGGCTCGTAAACGTTACGTGAACGATCCTCAAAGGCAACTTAATTAATGAGTCATTCACATTGTACCGAGTAAAGGCTGTACTATCAAAATAAGCCAAAATAACATGTGGATACCAGCGTGGCAGTTGATTGGGAATTTTATTTTGGATTCTCGCCACCTTTTAAAATTGTAATTCTAAGCTTTAACCATTGCCGTTTCATATGATTCGATTGAGTCTGGTGTTAGGGTTTTGATTGAATGAAAAATAAGTTGCTGTTGTGATTTAAGTTTGTATGTAGGCCTAAATATTGTATAAAGCTGTGCGCACTGATTTGTTAAATTGATTTAACCATTTGACTTTGAGCTGTCTTCATATTATATTAAAATACCGAGTACAAGTCAGACTTTAATGAACCTTGAATTTCTTATTCCTCATTCGAGCATGTGAACTAAATAGGCTTTCACCCTTCTAACAGAAAATAATTTTCTTCTCGGGGTCGTTTGACTCCACGGGGTCATTCTGACAAAAAACAGCCATGAATCGAGGTCCAATTGTAAATCGGGGACGTCTTCTCAGTTAGCAATACAGTGAAATTTGAATCTGCAGTGAGCATTTATGACGATCGCCGAGATCTCAAGGCGTTTGGAAGCCGTCCTCTATGGTGTTCTAAAATGGACAGACAAGTTTGTGTGTGTGAGTTTGAACGTCGTGTTTGTGAATTGCAAGCGTTATGCAAGTAGAACATCGCAAGTAGAACGTTGACCATGACCAGACTCTATGTCAAAAACTCCCGCAAGTGAGAGGGCGCATTTCAATTCCGTCGATGGAGTTATTATCCGGATGCAAAGTGCATTTGTGTTACTGGGTACGAATTGTCCCGGGTACGAATTGTCCCGATTCCCTACCAGCCCCCCATGCTGTCGATAGGTTAATTTAGATCTTAGACCGCTCTTAGAGTGGATTTGCCAATGGAACAGGGATATGCTGTCCGAAAAGCTCCATCACTTAATTCACTTTTACAGATTTAAGCAACACATTTCTCCAGCCGAAAGTAAAAACTTTTGTTTAGTCATTATCTGTGTTGAAATTGGGTTTAAAATGGCGTTTGGTTAGGCGGATGTGGGTCACTTGAGCCAGATTTATAACCCTCCAAGGGTGTTTGCGTAGTATGAAGCAAAAGCTACCTGTTCCCCCACTAGTCCGCCCCAAATAAGAATGAGTTGAAGGAAGACAGCGTAATGAAATCAATAATCCAATTTGATTTCTTGCCAGTTGACCCGTCAGCCATAGGCGGAGAAGTTTGAATAGACTGAGTACGGCTGAGTATACATCCGTAAGAGGTAATTGGGTCGACTCGTCATACAACTCCGAAAAAACACCGATCAACTATTTCAATGACGGATTTGTGCCGAGGAGATGTAAATTAATATTGGATATTTGCCCAGCCTGACGTGTATTTTAACACTGTATACTCACTGAATGCCCCTAAAAGGCTTGTGAAAGCGTAATCGTGTAGGACTGGAACCTACGACCCCCTGCTTACTAGTGCAGACGTCTCAACGACTCGACCACCGAGCTTGCCGGTGTCGACTGGCTGGCTCTAATCAGATGTAGCAGCGGGTACCGCGAACAACTATTTCAAGGATGGATTTGCGCTGAAGGGATGTGAATTAATTTTTAACTTTTACCCAACTCGACTTGTATTTTTTTACACCCATCAACCAAATGCATCACTTCAATCATTTGTGCACCTGGACCCCCTTTCTGATATTGTCAAGGCCGTGCACGATATTGCTGGCTTCAGGGAAGACAAACAGTTGTGCGAAGATCCGCCACTAGCACTGAAGATCAGTTATTGTGTCAAGAAGTGTGCACTCGTCCTTAAAGGAACTGCCTAGGCTTCGGCCAAAACACAAAGCGGAACGTGCGAAAGAGTTTCTGCAGTTGTGTGACTTGAACTGGCAAGACCGTGTGTCCACACACGCACACAGAACACTGTACCGAGAAAAGCCACAACAAATTCAACCATTCTCCCGACAAATGCTGATGTAGTCTAAATGTCGTCGCTCCTTCATGAAGCTGACAACGGGAATGTTCAACTCCTCCAGGGCGCTCGCGGCAAACCATTCAGAGCGGCTTGGCAGATATTGAATGAAGTCACTCTGTGTCACCTCATCATCTTCAACCGAAGAAGGCGGGGGAGGTTTCAAAAATGAAACTTGAAGATTTCCACAAGCACAGCACAGCCAAACTGGAGGGGGAATGCCTGTTGAGTGATTTAGAACGCTAGCTGTGCAAGATGTTCCGTGTTGTCAAAATAGTTGGCAAGAGAGGCAGAACTTCCTGTGTTGAGGAAGTAGCGTGGTTGAATGCTTTGGTCGGAGAGACACCTAGCTTGAGTAGCCCAAGACAACAACTTCTTGTTCGCACGGTGCTGTCATGGCAGGGAGGCCACATACGAGGGAGTGACTATTATAGGGCATATGCAGATAAGGCTGGCCTTGACAATGCATCCAGCATCCGGTCCACCACACTCCGTAAGCATGTGGCAACTGCATCTCAAAGTCTTGCGTCAAAGGAACATCAGCTCGAAACTCTAGCCAACTTTATATATTTATATAACGGGTTTTGCCCTTACCCAACTGAATCTGCCAAAGGATACACACGCAATGCTGCACATGTATAGTGTGCACTTCAGATCCAGATGTTTAATGCTTCTCTTCTTGTTCATGTAAACAGCTTGATGCACAGACACAGGAACATGCACAGGCACAGATTGACTAAAATAAAATTAAAATCAAACAGAAATCAAGAGTACGGTACATCCGACGTCTAGGTGATAATAATACATATATGTGTGCCCACTTTGAACGTGTAAATATACATGCACCCAATGTTTGCTTTGACCTCAATTATAACTTGCACTTAGGTGTATCTAAGTGACACCAATACATGTATCTAAGTTCCCCTAAAAGAGTATGATGCCCAATATTTAAGTTAGACAATACGAAACCCCATACTTTTGACTATGGCTCCAATATGTAGGCCCCCCATGTGCGTCTCTGTATTATTTACCATTCACAATAAAGTATTCCACCGATGTAACAGCATGGCCTAAATGAGTGAGTTTCGGTTTATACAGGACTATAAATAACCCAGTAATTACTTATCAAATTCTTTAATTTAATATGAGAATCCTGAGAATAATGAGCTCTAACCGTTTATTAAACTTCGGCAGGATGGGCGAATCAAAATCTGTCAGATGCAAAACGTGATGGAGCCATCTTGCTTTCAGTGCTGTTTTTACGGTCCCCGCTTATAGCGCCCTCAATCGGTTAGAAATAAAAAAAAATGAGTTTGGCCGCTACATACCGGCCCTCTAATTGTTTTTCATTAACAATTACATAATAATTATCAAAGAGGTCAAACTCTATTACACCCTTAAAACATTATCCCTGCGGAAAACATGTAAAAACACAAAAATATGAGTAGGTACTGGTAACTCCTAAGTAACTCCTAAGTACTACTTTCAACTAGGAGACACAACTTTGACACAACTAGAGTAGAAGTTTTTGTTTTCAACTTGGCACTCCTAACGAACCCCTTCTTGTCCTTGACAACTTCAAGTACTCTCCCAAGTGCCCATAAGTTTCTTGGAGTCGTGTCCATCACCAAGAGAACATCTCCCACAGTCAGATTTCGCCTGGGTTGGATCCACTTTTGCCTTGCCTGAAGGAGAGGGAGGTACTCTTTTGACCATCGCTTCCAAAATATGTCCGCGAGATACTGAACTTGTCGCCACTGCCTGACAGAATATTTGTCCCACTCATCAAACAAACCAGGAGGCAGACTCTCGCCCGACCGTTGCAGAAGCAGACGATTCGGAGTCAGGACATCTAGGTCATCTGAACTGTTAGGACACTCGGTCAGTGGTCGCCCATTCATGATTGCCTCCACTTCACACAATAAAGTTTCGAGAGACTCGTCACTTAGTTGGA